GAGCAGATACAATGCAGATGTTATTGAAAGCCAGATAATGCTTTTAAAAACGATTCACAATGAGAAAAGCCTCCAACTTTTTTGGCATGAAAATCTCAAAACATCCAATTACTAAGAGCCAGATGAAATGAAAAAAGTTCTTTTACTTCGGATCGATAGAAAATACTTCAGAGCATCTAAAACCTAAAAACAAGCTCGCGCTCGAAAATGAAAACTACGTTTTCATCAGATAATATTTCTGTTCAATTATCATCATCAGCATATAAAACAAAATCATTAATTCATGATGATCCAGCTACTGTATCAGCAAATAAAGATACATCAAATATTGACTTCTCAATACATTTTATCTAATTATGATATCCTTAGAAACAATAATACGTCCAACTGTTGGTGAAATACATAGTCTTCGCGTGAATTTGACAAAGTTGTTTGGAACTGAGTCGAACTTCGAATTATCATCATATGCATCTTTAAATCGTTCAATAGCGTCATCAACGTCTTCAAACAAATCTAATACAAGGTCAAAATCAAGACCTTGTGTGACCTGGTGAACTTCACCTTATGTACAAGCTTTGGTTATGCCCAAGTTTGGTAACATAGATGTTACTGATCGTAATATTAGCTCTTTTTATCATTTACCTCGATATTATATCTTGAAGAGACTTCTCGCTGCCTATCCGAAAAAGTCATTTGGAGGATGAAGAGTAATAGCTGCAGCAACCAAAACAATTCTTCCAATTTTAACTACAGATACTAATCTAATATTAATTCCAACTATTGTGTAATTATTTCTATGAATTTAGTATGATGGTGTACTAGATGTTCAATCAATGTTATTTTTATTTAATGAAACAGGACGAGATATACGTATTGATCATTTATATGATGTTTAAATAAATTTAGATTTTTTTGTTTTATTAAATATGTTTGATTTTATTTTAGTTTGTGGAAAATTCTTCCTCAATATATAGTCGGTCTTCAAAGAGTTGTATTTTTTGGTTTAATTTTCTGTTTTACATTTGTCTGTTACAAAAAAGATGATGCATTTGAATTTATATATTCATTTTAAAAGAGATTTTTTTGTTAGTCTATTTGAGAAAAAACATGATTTTTTTATTTGTATGAATAAAGAAGAAAAACAAGATGAAATGAAATAATGTAACTCATACAAATGACATTTAATTTAACGTGAAAAATACGAAATTTATTTTATATCATTGAATGAAACAATTTAATATTTCGACTCGAATCTTTTTTATTTTCAAATTTCGTTTAATAAACGGAATTTGTTAAGATAATAAATGATTTTTTAAAAATCCAAACATAAAATTGAATAAATGTGTTAAAATGAATGCTCTTGAAATATGAGAAAATGAAACAAGTAATGAACGAACTCTATTATATATTATATTCAAATATCGTAAAATCTTATAAATTTGAATGTTTACAATAAACAATATTATAGAAATAAATATAGAAATTTGCAAATGTTTATATTAATACATATAATTTATCATCTGAAGAAACTTTATTTTGTTAAATTAAATTTTAAGACAAGGAATATTTTTTTTATTGAAGAATTAAAATAAAAAAATGTTTTAAAAATTTATTTTTATTTAAACTTTGATATTGAAAAGTTCACTAAAATCAAAATATCGCAAATAGTATTTAGTTGATAAATAAATAAAAATCAATTTATCTCATATTAAATGATTTGAATTTAAATCTGAAAAGAAAAACAATTTTTGTTTAGTTAGAAAATAAAGCGATGTAACAAATGCAAAAGTACCAAATAAATAAAACCTTCGACCGACATCCACATTGTACGAGGAAGAACACCACTGTAGAAACTAAATTTAATAAATAAACATTTTTTTAAATCTTAAAACAAAGAACTAAAAAAACTAACGCTGAAAACATTCTTGTTTTAATATACTTTTTAAAATCGTACAAAAATGAAAAGCTGTATCAAAATGAGAATGTTAAAAACAAAATTAAAACTAAATAAACTAATTAAAAGAAATCTTTGTAATAGTTACAAGATTAAGAATTGGTAGTCTTGGTAATGTCTAAATATTATATTAATTTCATATTTTATATGAATACATTAGAAAAAAACAATAAAATTAATCAAATAATGTTGTAATAGATGCTGCTATTCTATCGATTAGAGATCTACAATAAGCACCTTTTCATAGATATACAGAATAATCAAATTAGAATTTTGATATTCTTTTTAATTTTTTTTGAAATAAATATTCAAAATAAGAAAAAAAGAACAAAATATAAATAACTTTCAAGTGAAAATTGAATTATTGAAAAAGGAATTTCTCGTGATAAACTTGCAAAATATGCTCTTGTGTAAGATGTGCATTCTAAATATTCGAATTTCGAATAAAATTTATTTTAAAGTAAATTTTTTATTATAATACAGTTTTTCCAAAACTAGCAACAATTATATGATTTTTCAATTAGTACAAAACCAATACCAGAATATAATGTTGAAAATAATATTGCTCGATATAAAATTATTTTTCATGAAGATTAATTTTTTATTGTATTGATTGAATCTAATGAGAAATAAACTGAACATTCAATTATTGATTCAGTCCAAACACTAGATTTTTACAGAAAGTTGCTTTTCAATAGGGTACTTCTTCAGAATATCCATAACCATATTACTAAGAGTACGCCTTTTTATGTATTTGGTCGTTTCAAATAAATTATATTCTATGCACAAGTACATGATTTGCACTTTTAGCTTTCTGACAGGGGATGAACTTGAATTATAATTGGTTTTTTTAATCATGTTTAGCATTTTTTTTTATTCAATATTTATTTTGTATTAGAACGGATATTTTACATGAAGTCGTATGCATTCTTGAAATAACCATCATCTTTTCGATGTTCAAGATTTAATGTGTTAATTATTTTCCCTAATATTTATTATAAATGATATATCTAACGTAGACAATCTATTCATGGTTTCTAACAAAAATGAACAATATTTATCTCTTTTTTTTTGTTAATACTTTCAATATTCTTATGTTTGATACTTGTCTAATTTTTAAGAAATAAAAAAGAATATTTCATTGATTTCAATCTTTATTTTTTCCAGCAAACTCATATTTGATATATAAAGACAAAAAAACTTATCTAGTAGTTTTTATTTCATAGAAATACTAGAGAATAGCCGGTTATAGACCGAATGCATTCAGTAAATGAAATTTGAAATAAAAATATTCTAATTATTAACTATCTTGATCTATATCATGAAAATCATATTATACAATGATAAATTTCAGCAACACCGTTCCAACAAGACTTATCTCAGAAAATCAATAGTAGATTCTCAAAAAATAGATACCAACAACGAAATAATCAACAAATCAATTATTTATTGTGACATAATGAAATTCTAATGACAAAAAAGTAAGATTTTCATAATTATAGAAATAGCCATGCGCAGAAATCTAAAACATACTTCAAAGTCTTAATTCGATTATTCATGTTTTAGGAATCGACAAAATTCGAAATTTTATAAAAACTTTCGTAGAAACTCAACTGATATTTCTACAGATATGATGTTATTGATTTTGACAAACATTTTTAATAAGATACTTTTGTCGAATTCACCAGAGACTGAATAAGATATTGATCTAGTAAGAATATAACTTTTTTTTTTAGTTATACAATATCAGATAAAAGTTTTTTTTTGACAAGTTAAATAAATTCATAAATGAAACAATATTTCAGTTCTCACCAAAGAAAAAGAAAATATCAGTCAAATTAAAAGTAGACAAATACAAATATATAAATCAAAAGGCTTGTTAAGATATATTTTTAGAACTTTTTCTATCATTAAAAATAGATTAAATTGAATATCATCTCAACTCTGTCACTCTACTAACATTTTCTTTTTTTTATCAAACTCAATATCTAATTCAAATTACAAATATATGTTAAACACTTCTAATACAATTATGATTGAATTCATTCTCATATATATATGAATTTGTTATTCTAATCAGTAAAAATGATATTATTCAGTAACTAATTCAGATTATCGGGAACAAATCTATGCGTTAATATTCAAAGAAAATCTTATAAAACTCATATTAGAAAGATTAAAACAGTTTTTTATTTTCGCAAAACAAAATTTCCTTGATAATATTCTTTGTCTTATCTCGATGAAAAATATATCTTAATTAATTCAGTCTATACAATCATTATCTTTGGGACACGAAAATAAATGAGTCCGGTAATTTAGATTTATGGTTTAATTCAGAACATTTAGAGTAAACTTTTGACGTATAACAGCAGCTTAGTATTGTACATGTCATTTTGATCAGACGGAATATTCATGTGTTCATACAATTAATTAGTTTAATGATTATATGGGCTTGTAAAACGGTTCCACAAATAATTGGTCAAATAAAAGGAAAAGATAGATCCAAAAAACCAAAAAACAGTTTTAACAAAAGATTAAGAAAACATTATGATTTTGTAATTATTAAATTACGTGACTTTTTTTGGAAGTTCTTATGATTTTCAAAAAATTATTATTGAAAATAAAAAATTATTCATGATTATTTATGATGATTGACTTTAAAAGAAGGTTCTTTAATTTTTTTTGTTTTAACAAATCTAAATTACCGAACTCATTTCGAACTTTTTTCTGTTAATTAAAGCCATCGGGATCAATTCTCTGGGTTTTTTTTCCGGATTCAAAACTAATTTTATCTTTATCTTTGAAATTTTAGAATAAACTCAGCGTTTTCTTTATCAATGATCTACGTATATGCAAAAGTATTCGTCTACTCTATAAACTATTCTTTTTGATTTTATCAGTTTATATCATTCGTATATAATATAATAAGTGAAAAAATGAAAAAAGAAAAGAGAAATACAGAAAAGCTCAAGATAACGCATGCATTTTATATCCATCTAACTATACGTTTCTTATTTTATTTTATTTTTGTTGTATCGAAATCCAAATGGAAATATCTATATTTAAAGAAGAAAAACAAACAGATTCAGTTGAAAACATGTTTAGAAAAGCTAATCAACAACGTTTGTTATTGATCTTCTTTTTTTTCTAAAAATCTTAATGATTTTTTTTGTTTGTTAAATGAATAGATAATGAAAATTTTGATTATAAATATTTACAAAAATATAATCATGATAATAAACATTTTTCTATAATGAATATTATATTTAATAAAACTAACGAAAAATATAAAATAATTGGTTATGATTGTATTTATCAATATGAAAATATTCATATTAAACTTGAATATGATTTATTAAATCGAACTTGGAGAATATATAATCAACAATCAAATTCTGAACAATATCAATATTTAAACATATTATTAGAAGATCTTAATTATTCTCAAAATATTTCTCTTGATCAACAAATTCAAATAATAATTAAAAGATTTAATAATTATTTTCATGGTTATTAATCATTTCTATTATAAAAATAGTTAAGATGTTGTTTTTTTCATATTCATTTTTAGAATTAAATCAAAATAATCATAATAAAGCATCAACATCATTCACATTGAAACAAAATCAATTAAAAATAATTATCATAATATATCTACAGAATCAACTATTTTACAAGTTGATCAATCACTTACTGATTTGCCTATTCAAAAATCGTTAAATCAAGATAGTTCTTCAAGTTCAATCAATAGTCTAAAATATACTCGGTAAGATTGTTTTTATATAATTTTATCTCCAATGGACTGCAACTAAAAATTTCCGTTTACAAATATTTATCGTAAACGAAACCTTTTAAAACTGAGATCTAACCTATGACGAATAATATCTTTCATCATGACTAGTTCATTATGTTGGATTTTTCAAACTGAAATATATATTGAAAAATATCTTCATTTAATATCGATGCAGATAATCATGTTTTACATTTAAATCGGAATGTGATTTGCATCAATACTTTTATTTCTTTAGTTAGAATTAATTTATAAAAAAATTTTAAAACATTATATAAGATATATCAATATATTTGTTTATATTATCATAGATATAATGAACAATTCTATGTTTTTATTTATTTTCAATATTTATTATTAATAAATTAAACAAACTTATAAGTTAATCACTAGATAAGGATAGATAAATTCAATTTAATATCTTAGATCGAATATTTCTCCTTCTTATTTTCTAACAATGCTTATATAACAGAGAATAACAATTTAATTCTAGTCAATTTTTTATCAATATCAAATATTGAAATTAGATGTTTGATCACAGTGAAAAATTCTAATCATTGTTGAGAATTATCTTCAATGAATATTAATTGTTAATCAATCTGATATTTAAATGATTGAATAATCACAATATCAAAGAAAATTCTTAATTAAATATCGCTTGATTGTTTAAATATTGCTAATATTTCGATGAACTATCCATCTCTTGATTTATTGTATAAGAATAGGAGTTAACACTTGTGTCTTCGATATTTTCATTCATAGTCTCATCACTATAGAATATTTTAATGAAAATTTGTCTTAATTAGATACATATCAATCGTCAATCAAATTCAATATATAAATAAAGTTATAAGTAGTTAATATTTGAATAGAAAATAGATATATATATGAAAAAGAAATTCTTTATGTATATTAAATTCAAAGTAAATAGTAATCGATCATTTTCGAAATAATAATTTGATATACGAATTAGAGAAAATGTTTTTTTTTGTTTTTTTATTTGAAAAGATTTTATTCTCCATTTGAAACACCAATTCGTCGACGACGTGTTATTCAATCAATACTTTTACGTGTACAATGAGAGTAAAGATTTATTTTTTAATTATTTCTATGTAGTTTACTTTTATCGTTTATTTAATAGAAAAAAATTCTTTGAAAAATTCTTTCATAGATTTAAATTAGAATCAATAGAATCAACAATATATCAATTAGGTTTAGAATTTTGACGTATTTATAATGGAAAATTTAATTATTTCCAAGGACATACAGTAAATCTTTTG